TCCAATTATCTTGGATATATACCCAGGAGTGGAATTGCTAGATCACATGGTAACTTTACGTTTAGCATTTTGAGAAACTGTTTTCCAACATCATTTTGCATCCCGCCAGCAATGTATCTCTCCAACATACAGTCTGTTCTTTTGATTGTAGTCACCTCAGTGGGTATGAAATGGTTTTGATGTGCACTTCCCTGATGACTAATGATGCTGAGCATATTTTTATGTGCTCAGTCATCATTTTTATTATTTTTAAAGAAATGTATATTCAAATAGTTTTTCTATTCTTAAATTCAGTTATTTGTATTTTTATTATTGAGTGGTAATAGTTCTTTATATATCTGGATACAAATTCCTTGTTAGATATATGACTGCAAAAATTTTCTTCCATTCTGTGTGTTTTTTCATTTCTTGATGATACTGTTTGTAGAATAAGTTTTTAATTTAATGTAGCCCAAATTATTTGCATTTTCATTGGTTGCTTGTGTTTTTGGTATCATATCTAAGAAACCATTATTCATCTCAAGGTTATGAGAAAGTAATAATTGTTTGCATTTTACATCCTATGTGAATTTGCATTCTTTGCTGAATTGCCTTTCTTCTTTGTCAGAGATAAGTTGACTACATTTGTGTGGACCTAATTCTGTGCTCTCTTTTCTGTTCCATTGATCTATGTGTCTATACCTTAACTAATACCACACTGTTTTGATTGTCATAGCTTTATGGTAATCTTAAATTTTATTAGTGTGGGTTCTCCAGTCTGTTCTTCTTCACTATTGTTTTGCCTATTCTAGGTCTTTTGCATTTCCATATATACTTTAGAATAAGTTTGTTGATATCTGCAAAATATCTTCCTGTGATTTTGATTGGAATTGCATAGACAATATATGAATGAAGTTGGGAAGAATTGATACTTAATCATATGGTGTCTTTTAATCCTTGAATAAAAAATATCTCAATTTATTTAGATTTTTTTTTCTTTAATCAGTGTTTTGTAGTTTTTCACAAATAAATCCTGATCATATTTTGTTTGATTAATACTTAAGTGTTTCATTTCTTAAATGCCATTGAAAATAGTGTTTTTTAAATTATAAATTATAATATATAATATTGGTATATAAGAAAGCAATTGACTTTTAAATCTTAATACTATATCATGTGATTTTGCTATAGCTGTCTATTAATTCTAAGAGTTTTGTTGTTAATTCTTAGAGATTTTCTACAAGCAATTATGTCATCTGTGAATAACAATTTTATTTCTTCTTTCCAAATATGTATACTTTTATTTCCTTTTCTTGTCTTATTTTACTAGCTAGGGTTTCCAATACAATGTTTAATATGAGTAGTTAGAGAAGACATTTTTTGCATATACACTATCTTAAGGGAAAATGTTCAGTCTCATAATTAATAACGATGTTAACTATGGGCTTTTGGTAGAACTGTTTTATCCAATTGAGGCAGTTCCTCAACCATTTTTAATTTACTGAGAGTTTTTATCATAAATGAAAGTTTGATTTTATTAAATGCTTTTTCTGTAATGTTGACATGACTATGATTTTCTTTTTATAATCTATTGATGTAGTGATCACACTGCATAATTTTTGAATGTTAAACTAGCCTTACATAACTGGAATAAATTTCATTTGGTCATAGTGTGGCAGGATGCAGCAAAGGCTCATATATATTTCTTGTATGATTGAGTGAATAAACACAAAAACACATGTAGCTGATTCGGGATCAGCAGTTGGCCTCACCTGGGCTGACTGAATATCTCCCACTAGCCCAGTGGCAGGAAGGAGGGGTTGATAGCAGTTAGAGGCATTTCCTTTTGAAAGGCGAATTGCAACTTTAAAGACCCATCCGGAGCCAGGCAGGTTTTGTTTGGGAAAGGCCAAATGACCCAAAGACTGGCCATTTAATGGAAATGCAAAAAGAGTGGCTAATTCACAGCCTTATCCAACCCCCCCCCCCCCTTCTGAAGTTGACGGTTTACAAGCCTGCAGTTCCTGGAAACCATTTGTTCTTTGAAAAATTTAATCTTGCTGAGTACAAACTTGTAAGATTCCAAAGGAAATATGTAATCACTCAACATGACCCCCCTCCCTTACCTAAACAAGGGTATAAGACCCCACTTCTCGTGTTCTGGGGTACTTGGTTTGGACGCATTAGTTCCATTGAGACCGCTGTGCTAGCCAGCGTAATAAAGTTGCCACTTCCTATAATAGCCTCGGTGTCACGGTCTCTCTATTTTTCCCGCTACAATAGTGTATAATTATTTTTCTATATTAGATTTGATTTACTCATATTTTGTTGGAAAATCTTGTATTTCATTAGAAATATTGGTCTGCAGTTTTCTTTTCTTGTATTGTCTTTCTGAGTTTAGTATTAGGGTAGTCCTGGCCTTATGAGTTAGTAAATGTTCCCTTTGAGTCTATTTTGTGAAAGATATTGAAGATGTTGGTGTCATTTCTTCCTTAAATATTTGGGAGAATTCACCTGTGAAATTATTTGAGTCTGATACTTTGCTTTTTTAGAAGGGTATCAATTATTAATTCAATTTCTTTAATAGATATAAGCCTATTCAAATCATCTATTTTTCCTTATGTGAGCTTTGGTAGTTTGTATCTTTCAAAAATTGATCCATTGGACACAAACTCAGCTCCACATCCGGTCTTAAGGTGTTAGAGTGATTGTGGCCAGAGAGAAGTGGCTGGAACCACTGGAATATCCACATTTCCATTTCTGTGCTTGATAGAGTTTTGATTCGTCATGGATAAGCTGTCATCAGAAGAAATTCAGCAGAGAGCTCACCAAGTTACTATGAGTCTCTGGAAAGTACAAGGAGAATCCTGGGCTTAGTCACTGAGTCTCAAAATGCATGAATCAAGACAATCACTAGGCTGGATGGACAAAGGAAATAACTAAACCGCACAGAGGAAGGCATGGATCGAATATGTAAAGACAAGAGAGAGGCAGAGAAGAATTTAACAGAACTCAACACATGCTGTGGCCTTTGTGTCTGTCCATGTAATAGTGTAACTAATGCTACCAGAGTAGATGAAATGGAAGAAAACCTGACTCAAGTGGACAATAACCATGGAAATCTAAAAAACACGGCCCTGGATATGGGCAATTAGTTTAAAGCTCAAAGTCAACAAATAGAACAGATCACAGAAAAGGCAGACACTAACAAAGATCATATTGACATTGCCAATGCTAGAGCAAAGAAACTCATTGACAACTAAAGCTACTGCTGTACTTTACCATTTATTCCTTTCCCTAGCTCCTCCTCTGAAGACATTACCTTTTCAGAGTTTGGAATTTTGATTTCACACTTGTCTAATTGGAAGATAACATGGATGAAGGGTCAGAGGAGTAATAGCCCCCCTACTTTTTATTGTCTCTGTTTCTCTTGAGGGTAGACTGCTGCTCAGCTTTCCTTATAGCACTTTATTTTTCAGTTCATACTCTTAAACCAGTTTTCATACATCACATAAAGTATTTTCTTTTTTTTTTGACCATGAAAATAAATCTTTATTTTCAGTTATTACCCACCAGTAAGAGAAAGTTAGGTTCACAGTTTTAGCTCTTGACACAAAGTGAACTAGGAGGCAAATTTATATCCATCAGATACAACTAATGAACAAACATTTTAAGTTCAGGCTGTCTTGAAAGTTTGCAACATACCAGATATTGCTGTTTTCTCTCATGACAGCAATGGGTGACAGTGAGAACTTGTGAAGTGTTTTTGATAGCAAGTGTTTTCTATAATGTTGCTAGAAATCAAGGTTTATAAACATGCTCAGAAATGAGTTAAGATACTTGAAAAGTCTAAACACACTGATTTAGAAGCATGCATGTTGCAATCTCAAGAGAGGTCAACAGTCCACATGGACCTAATTAATACTTGCCTCTGGTAGCAGGCATGTTTGTAAATATAAAATCATATTAGACATTAGCACCAGTGCAGAACATGCTCAGCATCATAAGATCCAAAACACCAGCACAAGTTTATTCATCATTAAAAAACCATTACCTCTTTCCTAAAATGTCAGACTAGTAGGTAACTTAGATGAATAAATCTAATCCAAATGAATAACTCTTGTATTGTACAATTTCTTTTAGAAGTGTACACCAGAACCAATCGGCTAAATAGCAGACACGTTTAAGACTGAAGATCTCAGATATTTTTTAAACTGCTTCTTACCATATATAGGTAGAACATTACTGAAAACTGAGTGACAAGACTCTTTAAACCTTAAATAAAATTCCTTTCCTGTTTATCAATACATGTGGCAGAATTTAAAAAGCCCTAGAAAACCTGTTTTATTCATCATTCTCTCCATGTATGTTTTAATAAGTGGTGATGCTCCCGTTAAAGGAATCCATTATTAACCTAGATTTCTAATGGAGGAAGAGGGAAAAGATATCACTTTCTGTGGAACATCCATCTATCAACTTAAGACCATATAATAGCAATATACGAAATTCAGAAATGGTAAGATTTTTGGTTTATATTTCATGGATGGTGCTGTTTTTCCAACCTTATAAAGTAAAGCTGTCTGCTTTTCAAATTCCAAAAATTAAAATATTCCCCCATCTCACCATACTAACCAGTGCCCTTTGGTTTTTTTTAGAACAAAGAAGGGTTAATGGGATTATGGATGTACCATTTTGACTTGGGGAAACTATCACAAACAGAAATCATACCAAGTGGCCAGACACTTATTTTACAGAACAGTTTAAATATTACACATTAGCCAAATCAACTTATTCCACCCACCATGTTAAGGTGAGGAAACCCACACCCATTAGACTACTTCACTTGACAGTACTCGTCTATCATTGATAAGTAGCTTAAACTGTCAGCAGTAAGATGTCAAATTTGGCTTTTAAAATGGGAAAGTCACACATTTAAAAAGTAAAGAGCTGAAATTGTAAATTAGTTATAATTTGAACCTAATAAAACATGCAAAGAGCAAGGTTAATAAACCAATGTGCTTTGAATTTGTTCAAGTACTGATATTTCTGTATATAAAGATTTAGCATATATATAACAGCTATCATGAGATGTGAAAAAAGATTTTTCCCAAAAAATGAAAATATTAAAACTAAGTTAAAATACATAAAGTAGTTAGTATTCCACACAGCATAAAATCCAACAAACCAAAGTTTACATGTCCTGGTTGACCATGTGTGAAAATGCAAAGTGGGTATTAAAGCCGATACGTCCAGTACTTAGAATCAGTTTGTTATTGGGGGAACATCTAAATCCTTAATTAAAAAACACAAATGAAGTGAAAGCTTTAAACTGGTACACACTGTTCACACCTATATCTCAAGTTTGGAAATGCATATTTGCAAGCAGCAATACAAAAGTATTCATGAAGAATGCATAATCTCTGAAAATTATGAAAACATCCCTGCTACCAAAACATTTCTAAATACAAAACTGACTACCATATTTGTTACTTCTGTGTAGCGAGAGAAGTTAATTTTCAAAATAGATAAAATTCAGTCTGTAGGTGTGAATGGCATGAATGACAGTCTTTTTATCTTTTTTAAAAAATTTCTTAGTCATTTGGAATCCTTAAGCATGCAAAAGCTTTGAACAAGAGGGTCCACAAAGGAACCAGGGTTGTCTCATGGCATCCAGTTAAGCCAGAGTCATCCACATCAGGAGCAGAAGCACTTGACTTGTGAGTCCTGCTCCCACGGTTTGACTTGTGAGTCCTGCTCCCACGCCCACGTCCACCTCGTCCTCCCCTGCCACCACGTCCTGGGCGGCCAAGGTCTCCAAAATTGATCTCCAGCTGAGACATTATACCATTTGCTGGCTTCCGGAAATGATGGTCCATAACCGAATCTCCAGCATGAGCCTCTTCACTCTTTGATTTGTGAAGAACAAACCCCTTCTTCCAGTGTCCATCAGCACCTTCATTTGGTTTCCGGATATTAAACTCTACTTTCGCCTGGTCCTTGTTCTGAATGGCCTTCCACTCGTCCAAAATCATCTCTTTTGGACCCTCTTCCTTTACCTCTTCAACTTCGTTCTCCTTATTTTCAGTGTCTGCGACTGGATGCTCTTCACCTTCAGGTGTTTCCTCAGTAACATTTGCTTGATCCAAGTCAGTTCACTCATCTTTGACAGTTCTCCAGTTGTGAGATCCACTACCTCCACGTTTGTCTTCATGCTTCAGGCCATTGTAATGTGAAAAAGAAGATCTATCACTTCTGCTACGCCTATTGAATTCACGTATGCCACGAGAATCAAATCCATCTCCTCGGCCCATTCCACGTCCACGGCCCCCTCGACCTCTTCCAAGACCACCACGGCCTCTAAGAGATCGGTCAATAATCGATCTACCATCTGAAAATTCACCTCCTTCACCCTTTTCTTCAAGTGGCTTTTCAAATCTTCGTTCACGAGGTGGTCGCCTTTCTGGTCTTCTATCACTTTCCCTTCACCCTGAAGTCGTTGATCAGCTCTTCTTCCAACTCGTCTTATTCCTTCTCTCTTGAGCGCCATGGGCGGCTGCGTCTCCTTCTTGTCTGCCACGCCGATGCTGGGGGGCAGCGGGTTCTTGCGGTCCTTCTGGGACTCCTTGGGCAGCTGCTTGCTGGCCGCGGTGAAGTTGCCCTGGGCCGGGGTCTGAGCAGCGCTCTTGGCTCCCCCCCCCCACCCCGCCCCGTCCCCCTGGCTTCTTTTTTCTTGTTCTCCACTGCCTTCAGCACCTCGAAGGGGTCCGACTCGTCGTCAAATAGCTGGTTGAATCGGTTGGTGACCACGCAGCCGAAGCCCTCCTGCAAGTGCCCAGGCCTGATGGCGGCTCAGCGGCACGGATGGCAGTTTCTCCACGGATGGCAGTGGGCTGCGCTGAGCCAGGAGCGCCTGCTTCAGCCCTCCCCACAAGATGGCCGGGCCACATAAAGTATTTTCATCCTCCTCATTCACTTCTGCAGGTTCTGTGGCTTTCACGATTTGGAAGCTTTGCTAAAGACCGCCAAAAAGAAAGTAGCTGCAGAGGTTTTGTTTGTTTGCTTGCTTTTGTTTTGTGTTGAAGGAAGGGGCAAGAGATAAGAGGTTATTACCTCAGTAAAAACCCACAGGTCAGAAAGCAAAAAGTTGCATAGCCATAGTAAAGATCTAGTTGGGTATAGTTTTAAATTTAAGTTACAGTTATTACCACTTTAGGCTAATGTTTGGTTTGCTTGGTTTGGGAGCTTTTATACACAGTATTTTAGATATACATCACAATTTTGCAAGCTCTGCTCCAAGGAGAATAGAATACGTTTTCTTAAAGTGAGCTTAGTTTCTGAACTCTTAGTGATTATATATGTACATAGACTCTGTGATCCCATTTCTTCTTCCATCATTCAGGAACAATTTGTATAAATGAATGGCTCTTTATTTTCATATTAGTAGTAGTATCATGGTCTCATTACAGGCCTATTTACCTCATAAATTTGTCACGAGTGTTTGCAGAAATAATATGTAAATATATGTGCGTAACATGAGAATTTATCTGAAAAGCAAGGCTTAAAATTTTTTGGAAAAGTTTGACAAAATATTCACAAGTTCAGATTTACCTCAATGCTATGAGTTATGTTTAGATAGGAAAAAGGAAACTTGTTTTGATCTCAGGCACAAATACAGTTAGATTTCTTTGAGTTTTATGTAGCTTCAGACTTTAAGAAAATTAGAATGTTTTCTGTCTTCTAAAAGTAATTTGGAAAATTTCACCTTTGGTTTAATTATTGGTGATTACACTGTCATTCTCTTACCCATGTATATTGACCTATGTCCAGAATCAGTTTATGTAGAAACTGAACGGTGTTATGAGAATCTGAGTGGCATTTGTCATCTTTAATTAAAAAACTAGCATCTGAACACTTGAAGCTGTCAATGTGAATTGGTTTACCCAGTAACTACTGCTTGATTCTTACAATTAAATGTTGTCACTAATTAATGATGGTATTGTTCTCTCAATGGAAATTGTTGCATTTCATATGCTATCAAACTTGTGGACATAAAACTGTTTCTAATATTCTTTTATATTCATTTAATATCCATGGTGTCAGTAGTATCAGTAGTGATATCATCTTATTTTTATTTATTTATTTTATTTATTTATTTTTGAGTTGGAGTCTCACTCTGTCACCCAGACTGGAGTGCAGTAGCCACTCCCAGCCACCACAGCCTCCACCTCCTGGTCTCCGGAGATCCTTCTGCCTCAGCCTTCCAAGTAACTGGAACTACAGGTGTGCGCTACCACGCCCAGCTAATTTTTGATTTATTGTGGAGATGAGGTCTCGCCAAGTGGCCCAAGTGGGTCTCGAATCCACGGGCTCAGGCAATTCACTCTGAAGTAGGGTCCGAGCGATTAAATAACAGCCCACCAACTTAATTTTAACAAAGGAGAAGTTTATTAGTCAAGGCTCTGCCAGCTGGTGACCGCTTGCAGGAAGAGAATTCCAAGCAAGTGGGCCTCGAACCGCCGCACAGAGCTTCCTTAAGTAGTCCTAGCTTACATTTTGGTTAGCTAAAGTTAGAGTTGGACATTTTCCAGAGCTCTTATCACAATATTCTGCTGACATCAGTAAGCTAGCAAGTTTACAGAAGCAGATGTGCTAATTAGGCAGGTGTAGTGGGTAAGGATACAATTTATCTTGCAATGTTTACAGAGGAGAAACCTTCAAAGAAAAACCTCCAGGAAGGGAGTAATGCCTGTTTCAAGGCTGAAGCCATCTCTTTCATCCCCCCCTTACAATCCCAAGGGCAGAGGCTGCTTCTTTTCCCTTTCACATTCCCCCCTTTCAGTTGTACCGAGAGTCAAATCATTGACTCTTCAGACAAAGGGGTGTAGTGGGATCTGAGAACCATTATTATTTATTTGCAAACAACAGTTAGAGCTATTAAATGTACTGCATACTCTTCCTTCTTCTGCCAGCAGGTAGTCCAAAGCTAGGTGGTTTTGATAAATAGCTGCGCGCATTTGGGCTTGCTGCTGAGCAACAAGCTCAAAAGCCATGGTTGTTTGATCAGTTATAATTTCTAAGACAGTTTGTAACCTGATAATGTGATTTAGCACATATATAGAGGTGTGCGGCATTTCCGACTCCCATCTTGCGCCCATGTGACTGGGTCATAAGTATTTATAATTATCTGGAGTGGTCATTCGTTATTTTTCCAAACCTGGGTCCCTCCTATATTAGGAACTTGATCGAGGGATCGAGCACCTCGGGTTTTGAGATTTTCATAAAGGGAGATGCCCAGTTCATCCCCCCTTGGGTTAGGCAGAAGGAAAAATCCTGGCTGGATTATTCCTATGGTACATGTGCCTTTTCATAATGCTGGGAGCTGGGCATATGCAACCTTTTTGTATGTCCAAAATAGCCCTTTAGTACATTGAGAAGATTTAGTTGCATAAGCAGATGCCCAATACCAAACAGGCCTTGTTGGCCACCAAAACAAACTTCTGGCTGAGAAGAATAACAATGGGAAACTCTTGCGTCTGACCAGATAGTTTCTATACACGTACATGCTGGGTGTGTGAGGGAAGCAATAAATACCCAAATTAGGCAGAAATACATAAAAGCACAAGAACAGTTCCTATCATAAGAAAGAATGGGAATACTAGTGAAATCCTTTTCTAACATGCTCAATGGGAACAACTCTGTTAATCCTACAGCAAATAAAGTTAGTTTTACAGCAATAAAATGACAAACAATTTAGCAAATATAAAGGTTGACAAAGCAAAACAATGGCTTATCAGTAATGTCTGCTGAGTTCTTAAGCTGAATCCTTAATCTTCTGGCATGCATTGATCAGTCAGCCTCTGGTGTGTGACTGACAGGGCTGGAGAATTCTCAGGCTTCTAGAGTAGGGCTTGAGAAATTTTGACTTTCTGGAAGGTCTGCTTAAGGAGTGTTGCTGAATCTGCAGTGCACTCCTAGCCCTGGAAAGTCAGCTTAGTTTTGCTATATAAAAGAACAGTAAATGGCCCCCTCCAGAGGGGGCTTTAGAGGTTATACATTTCTTTCTTTTTTCTTTTTTTTTTTTAACCCATACCATATTACCTGACTTAAAAGAATGGGCATCAGTAGTTAAACTAATTGGCAATTGTTTTCTGACTTGATAATGGATGGCATTTAGGACTGAACCTGAGGCTTGCATTTGCTGTTGTAGGGCAAGATTTCCTAATTCCTTTAAGTTTCCCTGTATGCCCCCTAGCGAGAGAGGGTGGCTGCCCATAAAGAATTTCAAAAGGTGAGGAACCTGTTTACTTTATTCAAAGGCCTGTTCTCGGGCCTTTTCCCATAGCAGGGGTTTTTGTTCACCCCCCTTTGAGACTTCATAGAGGGGTTTTATCATGATAGAGAAGTTAGGTATTTAAATTCTATAGACTAGTATAGGAACAGGACCACCCTTAGGGTCTTTTTTTTCTTATAGTTGTTGGTTGGGTTCTTCCTTTTCTTCAATGTTTAGCAACACTTACTCCCCTGGGATGTTTGAGTTTCTTCTGGTCCAAGGAGCTTCTAGGGAAATAAGCTCATAAACTGTGATTAAAATTTGACCAAAATAGACAACACATTTTCTTATGAGCATTTATGTTTGTGGCCCCCCTTTCCTTCAGAGGTATAGGAAAAAGGTCTACCATTAAACAATTTCAAAGGTTTAACAAATTCCATTTCAGGGACTTGGATCCTGAGTGATGCAATACCAAATACCTATGTTTAGTTTACTCATGTCTCCAAAGGATTTCTAGTGATTATTATGCTAACTCGCAAATTAAAAGATTGTACTGTCCTAGTTTTACATCTGATGGAGTTTTCCCTGGATTTGCCAAGGGGTGGGATAGGTTGCCATTCAACCTGCAGTAGAAATGTTTCAATGCCTTTTAAAACCTACCTATAGGAAATTTATTTATGTCTAGCCTGTGCTAGCTACCCTGACTCAATTATTTATTCTTTAGAGATTTTTCAATCCCATAATCATTTGGGGTGCTGAGGGGTGAAGGTCCGTCTTCTGTAATTTCTTCAGAACTAATAATGGGCGCAGTCCTGCCTAGCCAGAGATCGAAAATTTTTCCCTGTCTGACTTGAGGTGTCCAGATTTGTTTCAGTAGTGGCATTGTTTGCAGGCACTGGCTGGAATTTTTTGCATGACCATTATGTGGGCATGAAATTACTGGATTCTAGCTCAATAAAAGGAATAAAGTCAGGCCTACATTTTGACAATTGTAGGCAGTGGCTGATTACCTTTTTTTTTTCTGGTCGGAGTCTCACTCTGTCACCCAGACTGGAGTGCCATGGCCGCTCCTGGCCACCGCAGCCTCGACCTGCTGGGCTCTGATGATTCTTCCACCTCAGCCTCCCACGTAGCTGGAACTACAGGTGCGTGCTACCATGCCTGGCTAATTTTTTGATTTATTGTAGAGATGAGGTCTCACCTGCCCAGGTGGGTCTTGAACCTGCGGGCTCAGGCAATCCACTCACCTCAGCCTCCCAAAGGCACGGGATTACAGGCTGAGCCACCGCTACAAGGCCTGAAGTTATTAACATAACTTAAATGATAAACTTTAATTTCTGTGGGTTTATTACAAGTACCAGCTTTAGTATTGCTGGACTATAATGGTAGCCTGACAGATTGTTTTAGACTATAATTTGAACTAGGTACTTAAGTAAATTTTATGTAAAATTTGAAGAGAAATCCAAAAATGTTTGAGGCCTTGCATCCAGAAAAGACTTTATTATACCTAGTTTGTTTATAGAATTTCTTTTGTATGTATATTTTTCATAAACTTTTCTTATACCATT